CGTGGCACAAGCAGCTGTTTGGGCCCCGCACACCCCATGCAGCACGGGCCACACAGAGGACACAGCCAGCATTTCAGCAACAGCGCCACCCAGAAGGAACAGCCAGCATTTCAGCAACAGCGCCACCCAGAAGGAACAGCCAGCATTTCGGCAACAGCGCCACCCAGAAGGAACAGCCAGCATTTCGGCAACAGCGCCACCCAGAAGGAACAGCCAGCATTTCGGCAACAGCGCCCCCCAGAGGGAACAGCCAGCATTTCGGCAACAGCGCCCCCCAGAGGGAACAGCCAGCATTTCAGCAACAGCGCCCCCCAGAGGGAACAGCCAGCATTTCGGCAACAGCGCCACCCAGAAGGAACAGCCAGCATTTCGGCAACAGCGCCACCCAGAAGGAACAGCCAGCATTTCGGCAACAGCGCCCCCCAGAGGGAACAGCCAGCATTTCGGCAACAGCGCCCCCCAGAGGGAACAGCCAGCATTTCAGCAACAGCGCCCCCCAGAGGGAACAGCCAGCATTTCGGCAACAGCGCCACCCAGAAGGAACAGCCAGCATTTCAGCAACAGCGCCACCCAGAAGGAACAGCCAGCATTTCAGCAACAGCGCCCCCCAGAGGGAACAGCCAGCATTTCGGCAACAGCGCCCCCCAGAAGGAACAGCCAGCATTTCGGCGTTAGACTCTCAGACACTGGGCTACTATATATATGACTAGCCAGGATTTTCAGTTCTCTCCTCCATGTCAGTCTTCTCTCCTGAGCCTCCGATCTCTCGCTCCGTGTGTCTGTCTCTGTCTCCTGCAACAGCGCCCCCCAGAGGGAACAGCCAGCATTTCGGCAACAGCGCCCCCCAGAAGGAACAGCCAGCATTTCGGCGTTAGACTCTCAGACACTGGGCTACTATATATATGACTAGCCAGGATTTTCAGTTCTCTCCTCCATGTCAGTCTTCTCTCCTGAGCCTCCGATCTCTCGCTCCGTGTGTCTGTCTCTGTCTCCTCCTCCCTCCCCCTCTCTGCTCTCCTCCACCTCCTGCCTCTCTCTCTGTCTCTCCCTTTCTCTTCTCCTCCCACTCCTGCCTCTCATCCAGGGGACCACGCAGCCCAAATGGAGCAAGCTGCTGTTTGGGCTCCCCCGCAGTGGCCCGGCTGAGCGGCGCAGAAGGGCAGGAGGCGAAGAGGGGCGGGGCGGTGACATATACGTCCAGGCCCCGCCACCTGGCCATGTACGTCTCCACCCCGCTCGCCTTCCCCTCCTGCTGTGGCACTTGACTGACTTCTGTGCCGCTCAGCCAGGCCGCCGCGGGGGAGCAAGCGGCACAAGTGGCCGTTTGGGCCCTGCACTCCCCATGCAGCATGGGCCGCCCAGAGGGAACAGCCAGCATTTCAGCGTTACAGAGTCTCAGACACTGGGCTACTATATATATGATGTGTCAACAAGCCAAGGAGGCTGATTGCAAAAGCAGCTGTTATCTCAGCCATGAAAATGATCAAGGGGATTTCTGAAGATGAATTTAGTGCTTCTGAGAAGTGCTAGACTGAGAGCACCGGAACTGGAGGCCCTCTTTTTGAACTGTTCACAGGATAGAAGCAACAACAATACAGACCTTCCTCACCCGACCAGACAGCATGTCATAGAGGAGCTCTATCTTCCTAATCGATTCTGGTTTTGGCCTCTCTGCTAAGACTGACAATAAGAGCGCCAGTTAGCCATGGTGGTTGGTGTGATGTGGATGCTTGCCCAGACCAGCAGCTTGTTTCACATAGATCATTAAATAGCCATCTGCAGGTAACAATTTTCAGACATTACTGATTGAGAGATCAACCTACAGGCCAAAATAAGGATCTACAGCTCAAATATAAAATCAGTACTTCTATATGGCTCAGAATCATGGCAAACAACAAGGACAAACATCAAAAGATTGCAAACTTTTATTAATAAATGCTTGTGTAAGATCATTGGCCTGAAGTGGTCTGACAAGGTTACAAACATTAGCTTATGGGAAAGAGCAGGGCAATGCCTAGTTGAGCAAGAGATTTTGAGAAGAAGATGGTGATGGATTGGCCATACACTGAGGAAGCCACCAACTAGCATTACCAGACAAGCCCTATCCTGGAACCCACAGGGAAAAAGGGGACGAGGAAGGCCAAAGAATTGTTGGAGAAGAGACCTGGATGTGAATGTGAGGAAAACGGGCAAAACCTGGAGAGAATTAGAAAAGGTGGCACAAGACAGAGAGGCTTGGAAAGAAATTGTTGATGGCCTATG